AAAAATATAAAAATTAGAATATACAAAATTATAATTTTGCTTGTGGTTTCTGTATGGGTGTGCAACTTGGTCTCTGACATTAAGGGAGGAACATAGACTGAGGGTGTTTGAGAACACGGTGTTGAGGAGAATCTTTGGGCCGAAGAAAGATGAAGTGACAGGAGGTTGGAGAAAACTGCATAATGAAGAGCTTCATAACTTGTACTCAGTTCCACGTATAATTAGAATGATCAAGTCAAGGAGAAAAAGGTGGGCAGGGCATGTAGCACGAATGGGGGAATAAAGGACTGCATATAGGATATTGGTGGGAAAGCCAGAAGTAAAGAGATCACTGGGAAGACCAAGGCGTAGGTGGGTGGACAATATTAGAATGGATCTTAGAGAAATAGGATGGGATGGCATGAATTGGACTGATGTGGCTCAGGATAGGGACCAGTGTAGGACTCTTGTGAACACAGCAATGAACCTTTGGGTTCCATAAAATGCTAGGAAGTTCTGCAGTAGCTGTACAATTGACGGCTTCTCAAGAAGGGCTGAGCTCCATGAGTAAGAATTATGTATAAGGAACTCAGAGCTATATATGGGAATATAAAAGTAAAATGTTTCCTGTCCTAACACATTATCACACCTGCGCTGTTTATTAGTTCTACAGTAGATTTATGCCCGCAATAAATGAATAATAACTTGGCAAAGAGAGTGGTGCAGTATATCACATCGAGCGTTCTTGTTCAATGTTTACAAAGCGCGAAGTATAGCTCGTGTTACTGGCTACACTCTTCCGTTCAATATAAGCAGGCGCAAGGTAGTTCATAATCCTATGTCCTCTGTATGCGTAAAGGTAACATCAGTTACACTCCACATAACAAGGCAGTTCATTCTAAAGGACTCTTCAATGCAATGACGGTGAATCGCTTTGTAGTTATCTAGGACGGAGAGATTATTGGATTTACAGTAGGTTTAGCGGCCGTGGGGATTCGTTGCGCTGACCACGCAACATCCTGTATCCGCTAAAGTTGGCACTAACTTCGTTGATCAGCGGCGGTCGCTTGGTCGTATATTTCGCTTGCGGATTAAGGCCACGGAGTTTGTTTTGTTTTGCAGGTTATTTAATGACGTTGTGTGAATTTGAGGTCTTATGTAGCGTCGAGTGGTAGGAGAGGATGAAAAATTACTTCGGGTGACCTTGAAATAATTTGGTAGCCGCAGTCTTGGTCTATTTAGAAGGAATTCGTCACGAAGGAATGAGAGGAATTGGGAGAAAACTTAGTCAAGGTAGCCGGGGTCACAACCCACATTCGAACCGAACACCTACCTAATACCAGTCATAAGTGTTACAGTCAAATTAGTCGGGTGTAAATATTGAAAGATTTCACCATAAATTTGAGTCAAAATGAATCTGACTTTCCGAATGGGAAGAAAGTCGTTATTTGGCCGTGAAAAATACATATGCCTTGCATGCATGAAGCCAAAAACGTGCATGGCTTGCACTTTAGTTAGAAAGGCTTGTGCACGAAGAAAGAAAATCCACTGCAGGTTTACGAACCAGCGACTTAGCATATTTAAAAGGCAGGGTAATAGTCTGCAAAAATATGCATAAACCCGTCGAAAAATATTATTCGCTTTTTGTACGCAGTGCAGGAAATGAGTCCCATGCTTCTGCTTATCCGCAAGTTATATCTCAGAAATTGCTGAAAGAATTTCTAATAAGGTTTGGTGTTGGAAGTTTGCAGTAATCTTTCTTGGGCAAAATAAATTGTGGCCCATATCGGTAAAATATAAACCCTGCTGTACGCGAACCTGAAATCGACTTTTGTCCATATTTCAACACCATCTCATAGTAGTCTATAAAGTACTGATACTTGAAATAATCATTAAAATCTGCAACATTATACCTATGTTAAATATTTTCCAATTTTTTTATATCTAATAAATAAAATTAAAATAATTAGTGACTCTATCCAGTGTGATATCTGTAATAATGTTAGGGAGATAGATTTTACCTGCAACAAAATAACACCTAGTAAACTGAGGTATGAAATACAGGGAAGCAAACATTTGGGAAGTATCTGCAGTCCATAAGTACAGCCTTCCAATTTTGTTTCGGGTGGTATACTTGAAAATACAGGCCAGCTAGTGAAATGAGGATGATTTGTATACTATATATATATATATGTAGACTGGAGGCTCCAAACAATTACATGGATATGTGAGTACAGCTTAGGCTGTCCACACAGAAGTTAATTCACACTACCCTATTAGCACTGCATTAACAATCTTATCACTGTTCTGTGAACTGCGTTAAATTTCATCTAGACCAACATCTGTGTCTCTAAAGCCACAGGCTGCACCTTAGACGAATCAGCGACGAGATGAATAGGGAAGAATTACAAAGTTGTGATTACTCCAGTAGTGAATTTGGGGCCTCCGTAGAAATTTAACTGCTTTCAATAAATTTATCAGACTATATAAGCACCGAAGAACTTGGATTTATATTTCTTTAGAGAATAATTCTATTTCCTAATTCTGAAGTGGCATTTAACGTATTTATTTATACTAATTTATAAATCTCAGCACGGTGTGCATATAGACTAGGCTACAGGCTGAACGACACATACGTCGTGGTTCCACGCCCAGCGGAAGCAAGGGACGTTTCTCTTATCCATGGCTCCCGACCCGACCTTGGTTCCCATCCAGTATATCACCTAATGGGTGAAGCGGCCGGAAGTGAATCTATCATTACCTCCATTTAATGCCAAGGTCAAGGGCCGCGCCATAGCTCAAGCGGTTAGTCGCCGGCTTCCCACCGCGTCGGCCTGGGTTCGATCCCGTGTCTGGTCAAGTGGGATTTGTGGTGGACAAAGTGGTGCTGGGGCAGGTTTTCTCCGAGTACTTCGGTTTCCCCTGCCAATCTTCATTCCACCAACTGCTCCACAATCACCCTCACCTATCATCTGGGGCTGGTACAATAGGCCAGAAGCGGCCGCAGTACAAGGGACTTAGTCCCACCCCACTAGCAATAAAAAAATAATAGTGCTAAAGTCAAGTATGCGGCGAGCTGTACCTGATTCCTTCACATGTCTTAATGGCGTGTTATTGTGATTATCGTCTATGACACTCACTTTTTGCTGTTTTTAATATTATATTTAGAGAAAACTACAAGAACAAGGCGCTGGAAAAAGGTAAAGAATCACGATTTAGAAACATCTTCTGAATGTATCAACTTTATGTTAATAAAGCACTGTTATATAGCCTAGAATAAACGTTATAACCCTAACAACCTGGGGCACAAAGAAATTTTGTTTGAACAGTCGCATGAAGATCATTATAGAACTCGGTATAATGGAAAGAGAAAACAGACAATTTGCACACTTCTGTAAACAGGTGATTGCCGGTGTCGCACAAGAGCGAGAATTATTTTATGTCCCTCTGTCCATGTGCTATGGTTAATGTTCATTAACACCGATAAAGCAGCTATGTTTTTATTACACAGAAGGTTATTACACTTTGCTAGTAAATTATTAAATGCTTAATTACATAACTAATGAACCATGTAACTATGAAACGGGTCAGCTGACTGTTCAACCAACTTACTTATTTACTCTCAGGCAATAGAACTCAAAAATACAACGGCGTTTGAAGCTACTGAGGTCCAATTTGATTCAGTTCACATCTCAAAATCAATGTTCCTAAAATCAGTCCTAATATAACCCTTCGGCCTCCTCGTCCATATGGTGGTGGTTGGCGTAGCGGTGACACATTCTTCGAAAGGTGGTTATTAAAATTTCGGAAATAATACCTGCTATATTTACGTAGAATTTTCATTAGTCTCTCTAGGCCAGTGGTTCCTAATCTGGGACGCAGGGACATCCTTGGGGTGCGAGATGGCCTTTCTGAGTGTGCAAGGCATGCCAGATTTTAGAAATTAAATAATCGAAAACACAAATTAAGAAACTACTTTGTTTCATCAGTCGTATGTATTTATTAACTTTATACTTTTTAACAATTACCATAATAGGCAAACAAATAAATTTTTCGGGTTTAAAGAACGAGCCTATTTCAGTGATATTTGATGAAGGGTGCGACACCACATTTTGAGAAACAAAGGGCGCAGGTTTTATTAAATTTTAAAAACCTCCGCTCTAAGCAAATGCCAGGACAGCTGTCTTGAAGCAGAATAGCCTCCTTGCAAGTCCTCATTTACCCGCCTTACATTATCATATTCACATCTTATTCGACGCTATGCTTATAACCTCTGTAGATGATACAATGTCGTTAAAAATCCAGAGAATATACCTATCTTTACTGGTCTTCTAACTGGCTAGACGTTTACCCACTGAAATCCTGTACTCGTTTATTCTTTCCTTATCCCACTTTCATGTCCAGCCCATCGTAACTTCCTTAGTTAGGCAACCCTCTCAACACAACGTGAGCTGTAAAATTACGGAATTATGTATTACATAATACATTCCATTCCCCACGTAGTTTATCTTATCTCTTGGGTCCATATATTTTCCTGAATACACTGTTTTCAAACATACGAGTAATTACAATATTCTGTCAACGTACAAGGAGACTGTACAGCTTAGCAAGTACAGGAACTGATTACTGGTTCAATGACCGCAGTCTGATTCTCTGGATGGTCAGGATTTCTTTTGCAACACTTCCAGACCGGCTTTGGAGCCCACCCGGGCCAGTATCAACGGGTACTGGGAGCTGTTTATCTTGAATTAAAACGACCGGAGCGTGAATCTTACTGCTAAATTCCAACAGAAGCCATGGATGCATACAGGCCTATCTCCTCTCCCCATATATCTTCAAGGTCTGGTGCGTAAGCACAAGGGCAAATTTACTCTTTACCGAAGTAAGCGCCACTGTTTCATAACAATACCAAACAACTGATAAAATGGTTATTCTGTATATGGCAACTTAGTATTCTAGCTTCAGAGATTGGATGGAAAGAGAATGTATCCTGCAGTGTAATTGTTTCATTTTATCTCCAGGTAAGAAGCAGGGTGAGGTGAAAAGCAATCAGGACCATAAAAAGGGCCACAGCACCAAGGGATATCAGAACTTCCACCACAAAGACGAGACTTCAAAACAAACGACATTCTTTGACGAATCAAATGACGAAGGAAGCCACTATGATTACCAAGGACAACAGGGAGCATACGGTGATCAGGGTGGATCGTCATACAAAGGAGCCCAGCAAGATGGTAGTTTCGCTAGCGGTGAAAAAGGCAAGAAAGGCCATTACGATTCTGGGTACGCCAATGAGAACCAGCATGGCGCCAAAGGATCACACAGCAATCAAGGATACTACGGAGATAATGCAGACTACGGTCAGAAGAAAGCGTACGATGACTATGGAAAGAAAGCAGCTCTAGGACACCAGCAGCAATATGGGGGCTATCAAGGACAGCAGTTTGGCGGATTTAAGAAAGGTGGTAACTTTGGCGGTTATGGAGGAGGTTTAGGACATATAGGATATCTGGGATATTAATTTATGATGATAACATCTAATTTGAAATCAGTGCTTCCCACTTACAGCATTATTCTCAGAACTTTATACTGTTGATAAAGAACGACTATGTTAAATAAACATAAATCTTACTGTCATGTGTAGGTAAGCGGGCTCAAGAGGCATGAGCTTACTTGATCAATCAATTCAAGATATCACTTGTCGGGTTGGTTTCATTATAAAGTACAAAATTTATATATAACATACACTGCAAATAATGCTTCGGCTTTCATGATTTAGCTACTCTAGTCTGCTCAGTTTCAGATTTCCTTTCTGGAACTGAATATTTTAGACATTTCGACTCTCAGACATCATATCACCGCAAGGCCTCCTCCTTCACAGGAGAACACAACACATAAAGGCATATTACATATCCATACCTTGATCGGATGTGATCACTTAGCTTTTTGCTTGCAAATTGTGACTCGTCACAGACAACTAGAAAAACATACTTCTTTGTGCCAGGATATGATAATGGATGTGACTGTTTGTCCCAAAGTTCTTTCGCTAATATTTTAATTTCTCTAATTTAAGATTTAAAATGGATACAATTTTCCATATATTGAATGCTACTTCGGAAAATGTTCTGGTCGGACTTAAGGACGTGGAACGATCTCTGCATACTTGAAAGGACGAGAGAATTATATGCATTCATTTCAAAGTCCCGTGTTGTTGCAGAAAATATATTCCTTGTTCTCAATGTATTTCTGATGTATTTTTGATTATATAACCGTGTGACTAAGCATATGAATTTCGTGGCTGCCAGAAAATGCGGAATTAAATATAATATTTGTAATAATCGTTGATGAAATAATAAATATTAGTCAAACAAAGTAATGAAGTTTATTCCTGAAATTCAAGTTTATAAATTATTCCACCAAGCTTCGCAATTAGGTATATTATTCTGTAAGTTCACAACAATATTAGTGTCTTCAATTTGTAAAATTTTTCGTCAAGCTTCGCAGCTAAGTATTTTGTAAGTTCACAATAAAATAACTTTTAATATGTGTCAAATAATTTACATTTTCTTACACTGCAAGTCACTCTAAGTACTATGTTCTTCATATTTATGACGGAAGAAATGTCTCTCCTCCAAGGATTTTTAACACCAGTTTATACATCACTTAGCAATTTGTTTAGCACTAAAGAGATGCATTTTCTAGGATATAACGCCATGTAGTCCGGTGAAAGTCAACTGACTTTTCGGAGAGGTATATCGCCTCTATCCTTAGGTAGAAGAGTAATCGAAGCAAGAAACCAGCAAGAAGGGGTCAGAGGCGAGGTGGTTTTCAAAAACTACGGTTAACTTTCACTTGACTACATAGCGTTATGTCCCAGAAGATAGAATTCTTCATAGCGCTGTGAGACCGTCAAATCCGATATGTATGACATTGTTCACTGTCTGAGATAAATCCAATATATTCTACGTTGTACCCCTATCTTCACTTAAAGGCTCATATTGAAAGATATTACTTTTTGCTTCTATTTTCGATATTTCCAATTTCTTATTACTGTTCCCCTTGTATTGTAGTATGTAGATTTCGTGTTCTATCCCGAGTACTCTCTCTTATCGAAAATGAAAGCAATAAAAGAATATACGTCAGTATAGTGAGAACCAATTTTTGAAGACTGGAGTATAACTAATCATTGTAAGTTGTTATAAAATAATGAACTCGCTTATTTTTTCGCTCGTTCATGTAAGAACCTTTTTCTCCTTTACAACAGATGTCCATTCTTCTCTCATCCCGCATCCATCGTTAGGTTTCTCGTATTTTCCGAGACGAGGTTGTTAAGTCTCATGCCCAGCCCTATACATCTAGGCCCAGGGGATGCCTTTTGTCTAGCGCCTATCCTTCGCCCTAACAGCGGTGATCCTAACAGGAGCTGATGCTCTCGCTTGCATCATCTCGCATCATCTCCAGATGATCGGGGAACACCAGTTTTTTCTATCACCTTAAGGTAGTAGCCAAAGGAGGAGAATGAAATAATGAGACTCGAGAGGGGTGTAAGAGGTTGCGATTGTGCTCTTTTGTAAGGCAGAAGCCTACAGACCAGAAACTCACGGCCGCGCCATAGCTCAAGCGGTTAGTCGCTGGCTTCCCACCGCGGCGGCCCGATTTCAAACCCGGGTCTGGTCAAGTGGGATTTGTGGTGGACAAAGTGGCGCTGGGGTTAGTTTCCTCCGAGTACTTCGGTTTCCCCTGCCAATTTTCATTTCACAAAAAAATGTCCATAATCCTAATCACCCGGGGCAAGTACAATAGACTAACCAGTGGCCGCAGTGCCGAGTGGACCCAACTGGACTCCACCCCACACTATGCGAACCAGAAACTTGCGTGGTGAAACGGGAGAAAACAATTAAACAACTCATGTAAAATGGTTAATTCCCGGAAAAGCAGGCGCGTTAACCGCGTAAAGATAAGCAGCGGCACGTACACAGGGAACCTACACAGAATAACACCTGTACAGTGCTGAAAACAAGAAGTAGCCGCTGCAGCACTATAGACGTGGGGCGAGTAACCCTAAGAATTTTAAATTTTAAATTTTAAATTTGGGGAAAAAAATCAAAAGAATTTTTAAAGTTGGAACTGAAGATTTTAAAAGTGTCAGTTCATAAAGGTCAAAATTGACGTGTGTGGGTGGCAAAGATGAGGTACGAATCAGACAAATATCAGCGAAGTAGATCCTGTTAGCAGCGACGAAGGGAATAATTGGGAAGACCTGTATGTTTTTAATTTTAAACTGGGTGCAGTGTAACAGCTACGTGAGTGTATACACCTGATGATGGCCGTTTGCCGCCGAAACATGTAGTGTAGAAGAAAGCAAGACGAAAGACCTACAATAAACTGTTGCACTTCGGACGGAGTTTATATCATATATCGTATAGAGCGCAACAGGATGCTTAAATATAATACTGTAAGCTGAGTTAATATGTTTATTGTAGCAAAACCAATTTCTTTCTTTGTCTGATAGTAATTATTATTATTAGTGGAGGTGAGACTGAGTCCATTTGGTAGTGCTGCCACTACTGGCCTGTTGTACCAGCCTCAGATGACAGACGATGGTGATTGTGGAACAATTGGTGGAATTAAGATTGGCAGGAGAAACCGAAGTACTCGGTGAAAACCTGCCCCATTGCCAATTTGTCCACCACAAATTCCACATGACCAGTCCCGGGCTCGAACCCGTGACGCCGCGGTGGGAAGCCGACGACTAACCACCTGAGCTATGGCGCGGCCTTTGTCTGGTTGTAACTGTCAGTAAACAAGCAATTTTATATGTATAATATAAACTCCGTCGTAAATGTAACACTTTATTGTAGTTCTTGTGCCCCTTCTTTCACACTACATGTTTCGGCCGCAATCGGCCATCATCAGGTGTATTTCACTTCATGTAGCTGTCACACTGCACTCAATATTAACATTTAAATTCCAGATTTCCAATTGTTCATTTTCTGTCGTCAATCAGCACCCGATATTCCAGGACTCCCCTTGTCGGTTTATATTAAAGAAAAGCAACGGCACGCACACAGAGAGCCTGCACAAAATAACAGGCGAGTTGTGCTGAAACAAGAGGTAGCCGCTGCGGCACATATAAGCATAGAGCAGGTATCTCTGTGATTTTGATTTTAAATCTAAATACAAATTTTAAATATTAAAGCTAAATTGAGAATTTAAAATATTAAACCAATCGACGTGTGAATATTCATAAAGCACAATTGACAAAATCGACAAGGGGCGTTTTGGAATATCGGGTGCCGATTGACGACAGAAAATGAACAATTGGAAATCTGGAATTTAAATGTTAATATTGAGTGCAGTGTGACAGCTACGTGAAGTGAAATACATCTGATGATGGCCGATTACGGCCGAAACATGTAGTGTGAAAGAAGGGGGACAAGAACTACAATAAGTGTTACATTTACGACGGAGTTTATATTATACATATAGAAGTGTGGAATGTAACAGGATGCTTAATTATAATATACCAAGCAATTTATTTATGATGCCCGACGTGAGTATCCCACGGGACATAATGGTCTGAAAACTTCAGCCTACTCCACGAATTATTTTTGTTGTTCAACTTTCGTCGCTTCAAGGAAATAAGAAATTACCCTCTTTTTTTTTCGGAAATTATTCGGAAGGGAGAACTGACACTCTGACACTGGACGAGGAAATTGATTTCCATGCCTTCCAAGCTGCTTTGGTTCGTATGCGTCATTCTTCCACCGTCCTTACACCTAAGGGCATACACGTATGGTTAAAAAACAAAGCACAACTTCCCTATACAAACAGAACAAGTGATACTAATTTTACTGAGGGGAATACCAGGACAGACACGTGATCGCCACAGGAATTAATTTGCATACAAAAGACATTCGCTACCGATATACGATTATCTTTATTGCCACAGTCTGCAGCCGAACGCCGCGGTAGGCTGGTTAGCACTATTGTTCCATATTTGAGAGACTAAAGGTTCAAATCTCTGCCCAGAGAATATCTAGCTCGACTGAGATTATCCATGATTTTCACAGTCCTGCCCAGTCAAATGTCAGGTACCCCAAATTAAGCCTCAACTGCTTCCTTCCACGTCCTTCTCAATTCATTCTTTCAATAATCTTCCTATAATTCAAAGTTACGTAATCTGAGCTACTAACAGTGTCGTTAACTAAACAGTGACATAAAAATAAAAATAATTGCTTACAATAATACTAAACGTAATATAACGAAAGAAAGACAAAGACATATGTGGGTGCGTTTCCGTGCTTTATTTTCAAAACTGTATACTCTGTGAATTACGAAGATATAATTTTTTGGGAACTTGTCACCACGCCGAGGCGTGTCCTCAGGTTGCGGATGGAGCAGTCGACCTCCAGATATGGAGGATAGCTGAAAATATATTGGAAAAGCAGCCACGGACAGCGAACAATGGGTGGTCTTCACGGTTTGGGTACTGGGCGTGGGGCTAAAAACTCCTCACCCTAAAAAAATATTTTGTTACGAAATGTTACACAGGACCTCGGACTCGGACGGGTTCTTTTAATAAACGCCCCAAATTAAGCAAACCGGATATGAGACTTAAGGTCACTGGAACTAGAACGTGTATTCGATAAATTCCTAAATTAGCTGTTAGATCAAAGGAAACAAACCAAATTGCAATGGTTACGAGACCCAAGCCAAAGAAATTTGGATAATATTAACAATATACTAAAAGGTGCAAAACATAATCCATTTTGGACTGAGGTGGCTCAATGTTATGGTTACTTTAAATGAAGCTCAAATATTAATTTATCAAAATTCTCAACAACTGCTCATCCTACAGAAAACTGGTCCATGACATAAAATACTGCAGTCACTGAGGATTTCGATTTGTATTTTAAACATTCAAAAACATCCATGCGGTCAGAATTTGAATGCGTGACCATCTAAGGACACCACATACCAATGGCGGCAGCATTAATTGTGATGTGCCTTGGAGAGTTGACGTTTAGAGATTACCACGGACAACAGGTTAGCTTACACTGTTATGGCCCGATTATAATACCTGTTCCAGATAAATCACAACACTTTTCAATGTGAAGAAAGCAGTCTTCTGGGCTTTGGCGCCGTGTATATGTGGTGTTAACCGACGTTTCGGAGGAACGTATCGCCCCCATCTTCAGGGTTGAAGAAAAAGTATAACGCAGTCTGCGTTACCGTGTCTCACGGTGTTGTCGCTTGCAGATTTACCTATACTTTTTCTTCAACCCTGAAGATGGGGGCGATACGTTCCTCCGAAACGTCGGTTAACACCACATATACACGGCGCCAAAGCCCAGAAGACTGCTTTCTTCATAGTCACCGCCGTGAAAGCCTCAAATCTTACTTTTCAATGTGTTAAATTTATGCATAAAACGACTGACACCACTTTTGCAACATCGTCAATCTAAAATTGGAGGCAGATTTTTCTACCGAAAAGTC